ACACTGTCGTCTAAGATACCACCTGGGAAGGATGGGTCTGAACCAACAAACGGACTGTCGGTTCTGTTGTGTGGAAGACGAAACGGCTGAACACATATTATGCTCATGCTCTAGCTTAGAAAGACTAAGGTTCGACACATTTGGCTTTACCAACCTAGAACCTATCGATTTCAGACAAATCTCACCCAATTCAACCATGAACTTTGTAAAAAGATGTGGATTGTACGGTGAACTGTAACCTCTAGGGGTGAGCCACAATAGACCCATCTGGGGTCGCAGTGGAGGGGAGGTGTTCGCCCCACTCACATGGAACCAACCTAACCTAGTATATAAACGCGAACCATTCCTTTCATAATTAAGATTTCTCAGCTCTATATCATCGAGAACGAAGAAAACTCTATATCGTTAATAACGAAGAAAGTACCTGTTTGTGAACTCTTGAAAAATACCTCCCAACTTCTGAAAAAGTAAGTCTACAATTTTTGATTGTTTAGTTAATTTCATTATTATGACTCACGTACTATTACTATCTTTTCACTTCACATCTCAAGTCTCATTATTTCTTGGATGGTGTATCACAACCTCTGTTTTTTGATTCCTACCTATTCCAATGATTTCATCTCATTTTTCTTGTTTTAGAATGGATCTCAAATCATTGAATACCATATCAGTTTTAGAAAAGGGAAATAAGCCAGTTGTCAAGTTGCATGACCTGTTGCCTGGAGAACCACAAAGAATTGAAGCAGCGAAGATCGTACAGAGTAGATTTGGTGAAACAGTACTACTGGAATTAGAGACACATGTGACTTTCCTTCCGCAGAGGGTAATCAAGAAATACAAGGAATTCATCGACTTCTTTGAAAAAGGAAAATACGCAGTAGTGTTCAAGGGCCTCGTGGAAGTTGGAAAACCCAATCCTGCTGCATCTTTCGAAATAATAGAAATCTAAGTACATAATTGTGGTCAGTTACATTATATGAATAATAGTGATACATTCAATATGGATAAATCGCAAAGTGTCCTATCCGCAATTAACCAGTCTATTGAATCAATTCAAACAAATTGGGCTGAAAAATATCAATAAAATTCATTAATCAGCATATTAGCAAATGTAATCTAGCTTTGAAAAAATATAAATTTTCGGTTGGTCAAAAACGTAAAATTCTCACGAAAATTTGCCATTTGAAACGGATGAGGTGTTTACTGAAATTGGAAAACAAACATATAGGTCGTGGTATACAGCTATATAGTAGGGTTCGCTGGGAAAATATTAATGCTTGTTTCAATAATAGAATTCAAACAGGTGTGATTATCAATATGAAGCATAAAGATATCAAAATTTTTTTACCTGATGCATGTCATTTGTTCGAAAACAGAATTGAAAAAATATTGAAACAAATGTTATTATTGAAAGTAAATACTACATTTACGGGGGACTTTGTGAAAAAGTCAAGCTACCAGGAAATAGTCGACCAGAAACATTTTGTGACTCCTAATGCAATTATCGATCAAGGAACAGATCTTTCTATCTGGTACCAAGAAAATGTAGTAGATCATATTTTGAATAAGTTGACTGAGTTTGAAACGAAGGAGAGTGGTTGGACATTGCGAAACATTTTGTTTCTAGAAGTAGCCATAAACAAATATGAGATTGGGAATGGATCATCATTTATCAAGTTGCCATCACAAATCATGAGGAAAAGAGCATGCGTCAATATCCAAAACAATGATGAAGCCTGTTTTTATTGGAGCATTGTCAGCGCTTTCTATAAACCAACTAGAAATTATCGTTTCACGTCATCATATCCATCATACGATCTTGTTCTAAATACTGAAGGATTAGAAATACCCATGAAATTAGGCCAAATTGGTAAATTTGAAAAATTGAATAATATATCAGTCAACGTTTATGCTTTGGAAATGAATAGTATGGAAAATAGTTCATTTTATGTAGTAGTACCTGTCAGATTAACAAAGACCAAACTAGTGCGTCATGTCAATTTGCTATTGATTCAAAATAAATATTATCCAAAATTGAACGATTACGAAGCACCGATTCCTGATGATGATCATGATGACACAGAAATAAAGTTTCACTTTTGTTGGATTAAGAATCTATCTAGGCTCCTAGCTGCCCAACTGAGTAAAAGTAAAGTCAAAAAGTACTTTTGTGATCGCTGTCTGATTTATTTTTATAATGAAGAAAAATTGAAAAAACATTCTGATCTTTGCGAATCTGTTAATGATTGCAAAATCTCGTTTCCAAAATATGACTTCGTGGAATTCAGAAATTTTGTGTATAAACAAAAAGCACCTTTCATTATATATGCTGACTTTGAATCCATCCTAGAACCTTGTAAATCTAAATTATCAAAAACAACAAAGAAATATCAAGAACATAAGGCATTCTGTGCAGGTTATTACTTGAAGTGTTCCTATGATAATTCGATTTCATATTTCAATAGCTATGAAGGCGAAAATTGTATGGAATGGTTTTCTAAACAAATCACAAGTATCGCGCAGTTCTTAGAAAGCAAAATATTAGAAATCGTACCAATGATTGAAAAACCCAACACTATGAATGCTGTTATTTGTCATATCTGTGAAAAATTCTTGGGAGCAAACGACATTGTAGTAAGAGATCACGATCACTTCACTGGTCACTTCCGGAGTTTTTACCACCAAGATTGTAACCTCTCCTTCAGGAAACTGTTCATTGTGCCAATAGTTTTTCATAACCTATCTGGCTATGATAGTCATTTCATAATCAAAGACATTGTAAAATATGGTACCATAAGTGTACTTCCTTTAAACAAAGAAAAATACATCTCTTTCACCCTTCATGTTGTTGATAATAACATCAAATTCAGGTTTATAGATTCATTCAGATTTATGGGTGCTGGTCTTGACGAACTTGTGTCCACTTTATGTTTGGATAATTTTCAGAATCTGAAGTGTGAATTCAATCATTTAGATGATCATAGATTCAAGCTATTGACTAGAAAAGGTGTATTTCCTTACGACTATGTGGATCATGTTGAAAAGTTGAAAGAAGTTCAATTGCCATCTATTGCGGAATTTTACAACAAATTGAGTGATCTGGAGCTTTGTGAAGAAGACTATGCTCATGCACAAAACGTTTGGCAAGCATTTGATATGCAAACACTTGGAGAATATAGTAATTTTTACATGAAAACAGATATCCTTCTACTCACAGATGTCATGGAAAATTTCAGAGAAACAGCTCTGAAAACCTATGGCTTAGACCCTGCATGGTACTATACAATGCCCGGCTATACTTGGGATGCTATGCTCAAGTATACTAAGTGAAAATTACAAATTTTGAAAGAGGTCGACATGATCCTTTTCATAGAGAAAGGAATTCGAGGTGGAATATCTGTTTGTTGCAATAGATATTCAGAGGCTAACAATAAGTATATGCCTGAATATGATGCCTCCAATACCACAAAATCTCTTTTATACTTGATGTTAACAATTTGTATGGATGGGCAATGGCTCAGCCATTACCTTTTGAAGGGTTCGAATGGGCTGACACTGCCATTGATGTAACAAGTGTTCACGATGATTCCCCAATAGGATATATTTTACAAGTTGACTTAGAGTATCCTAAAGTATTACATGATTTACACAAAGATTTTCCTTTTTGTGCAGAGCATCGTGTTCCACCAGCATCAAAATTGTCAAAGTTAATGGCCGATCTATATAACAAAAAGGAATATATATTACACTATAGAAATTTGAAACAAGCTTTGAAACATGGTTTACATTTAACAAAAATACATAAAGTGCTGAAATTCAGCTAGTCTACATGGTTGAGACCATATATTGAACTCAATACTCGATTGAGAGCTGCGGCTACCAACAACTTTGCGAAGAATCAATTTAAATTAGCAAATAACGCGGTTTTTGGGAAAACTATGGAGAATATCAGATTGCACCGGGTAGTTAAACTAGTAAATTTCTATGAAGGAGGGTATGGGGCTAAAAATTTGATTGCTAGTCCTCGGTTCCATAATAGAACAGTTTTTGATAAAGACTTCATTGCTATTGAATTGAAGAAAGCAGAATTAATTTTTAATAAGCCATTATATATAGGAATGGCTATTCTGGAAATTTCCAAAACCTGTATGTATGATTTTCACTACGATTTTATGTTGCCTACAATGGGAGTAGAAAATTGTAAATTGATGTATACGGATACAGACAGTTTTATTTATGAACTGACTTGTGATGATGTGTACAAAGACATAATCAAAAAACACTTATACAAATTCGATACATCAGACTATGATAAAAATAACGTGTATGGTATTCCGTTAGTGAATAAAAAAGTACCTGGATTATTTAAAGATGAATCAAACGGTAAAATCATGACTCATTTTGCTGGTATTCGTGCCAAGATGTATTCTTACAAAATACTAACAACCAAGGTAGATGAGGAAAACTTGATGGAAAAGTTGAAAGAGAAGGGCATGAGTAAGAAACGAATATCCATCGAATTGAATAATCTGGGTGTTGGAAAAAAGACAAAGGGAATCAAAAAGAATGTAGTAAAAAATCAAATCACCTTCGAAGATTTTGTCGATTGTCTCAAAGAGTTTAAAGAGAAAGTTGTAACTCAACAAAGTATCCGCTCTTATGCTCATAACGTATTCAGTATTGAACAAACAAAAATTGCGCTGAGTCCACACGATGACAAACGTCGATTGATTCCTGGTTCGTTTGATACACTTCCGTGGGGTCATTACAGTGAATGAATTATGTTTCAGGTATGGCTAATATGCGATTGAGGGATATCTGTGTTCGGAATATTTGTGAAAATATTAGCTCAATATTGAGTTTTATTTATCATTCGCCATTACCTAAAATCTTAACTTTAGAAATTGTCATGAAGTATAGTTTTCATAAATGGAACCGTCTAGAAAAGAGTGCACAGCCCAGTGATGTATATATTCCTGCTGATATGTTAAAAATTAAAAATGTATAGGTGTAAGATGGCCGACGGTAAAGATCTGCTCGCAGTGGAGCTTGATAAATTGAAGAAATCGGAGATAATAGAATTAGTAGTTTTCCATAAGCTTCCAGTCAAATTCTCAAGTAGTGAGTTACTATGTGATTTCAAGAAAAAACTCGGTGTGTTCACGAAGTATACGACAAAAAACAATGAAAGTGAAGTGTTTCACGATACACATGACTCTTTGGACAGTGAAAGTGCAGTGATGTGCTCTGAAGAACACTGCATTAGAAACAAAATTATGGCAGAGTCATCAAAAGCAAGAGAGACTGACCTCAGTGAGTTCAATTTTCATCTGAAAAAACGTATAGGTGATCTAGAAGAAATTATATCCTTGATCAAAGGGAATAGTAAACAAGAAACAATTGTACCCAAATCAGTACTACCGGAGCCATCTACAATTAAATCTAAAACGACAAACAACCAAGTGAATTCCAGAAACAAGGTATCTGTATCTACTATATCTAATCACAAGAAGGACTCATCAATAGATAACACAGGTAATACAGGGAGAAATCTGTATACAAATAAAGTTACCAATAATAACAATGCCCAAACTAGCTCAACTCTCGACGTCCCCGCCAATAATCCTATCACACCAGAACAAGTGAGCAGTGCGATTGAAAACGCACAGCAATACGTCAGTCCTCATTACAAAGGAAACACGAGCAGAGGTAGGAATACGAAACGCAAACCGATCTACGGAACGAATAAACAAATGAATTCAGTGAAGACCGTGCCAAAACTTGGTTATCTGCATGTATATAGACTCGAACCATCGACGACAGTTGATGAATTCAAGCGGGATCTGAAAGATACAGCACCAGACATCCCGTTTGAATGCAGCATCTTGAACAAAACTCAGTATACCTGTTCAATGATTGTATCGTTCCCAATGAATCATGTGAAGGAGGTTTACAACCCAGATATCTGGCCTAATGGATCCATGGTAAACAGGTTCAAATTCAAACCCGGTGGCCCTTCAGGAAATTTCAGGAACCCTGCCTCCACCAAGGAACTTTAGAACAAACAGATCATCGTAAATACCAATTCAAACTATTTCATATCAATATTCAAAGTCTAGGAAATAAGACGAATTTTATTGAATTATTCTCTAAAAAAAAATGACCCCACGTTCATTTGCTTAACTGAACACTGGATGTGTGGTGATGGTTTGAAATCCACACATATTTCTGGATACGAATTGGCCTCAGGATTCTGCAGGGAAACTGCAGTACATGGAGGTTCAGCCATTTTTACTAAAAAACAGATATCAGGTAACTGTACTAATATTAAATATCTAACAGATCTATCTGAAGAATTTGTATTCGAATGCTCTGCTATTGAGGTAAATAAAAATATATGCGTCGTGACAATATACAGAAGTCCAGACCAAAATATTGATATTTTCTTGGAAAAATTGACCAATGTATTAAATATCATCACTAAAAAATACACAAACGTCATTATTTGTGGAGATCTGAACGTTGATTTTCTCGACACCAAAAGCAAAAATAAAAAACAATTATTTGATGTATTTGACATGTTCAAATTAACTGTACATATAAATCAGCCTACTAGGGTAGCCAAATATGGAGATAAGGTGACACGCAGTGGCATTGATTATATAATAAGTAACATGGAAAATAGCGCATGCGAGATAGTTGATATAGGAGTTTCCGATCACTTCGGTCAAATTCTTGAATGGAATCAACCATACCATGTAGTGAATGAGGAAATAAACACCACTATAATCACTCGTAGATACAATGAGAGGGCATTAGCGGAATTTAAATGTCATTTCAATAACCGCAATCACCTTGAGGAAAACAATGATATAGATGCATTGTTCCGAAACTTCATGGAACATTTCTCTTGGTGCTTTGAAATTGCGTTCCCAAAACAAAAAATTGATCTAAATGATAGGCGAGAAACCAACTCATATAATAAAAAAATCCCTCTCTCTGTAGAATTGAAAGAAGATTTAGAAAAACTCCGAGACTTCAACTGGTTACGAAAACAAGTAAATAGCCCATCTCTCAATGAATCGTACAAACAAATCAGAAAAAATATAAATAAAAGAATTTCAACAGAAAAAAACCTATATTATGCAGGAAAAATTGAAAACTCAGAAAATAAAGCGAAAACTTTATGGAATTTAGTTAAGGATAAAATGAACAAAGTAGAAAGAAAAAACGATATTATTATAGAGAAAGATAATGCAATCATTACAGATAAAAAAACTCTTTCGAATATATTTGGTCATCATTTTTCAAATTCTGTGCCAGATCAGATTGGTTCACTCAATCTACCGCAAAACTCATGCACAAAATCTGATTTTCATAATCCAAACTCAATGTTTTTCTCTCCAGTGAGTGAAACCAATGTAAAAAATATAATAATGAATTTGAAGAAAATGTATTCTACAGGCATTGATGATATACCTGGTATTTTATTAAAAAAATGCGTGGATGAAATCTCGTTTGACTTGAGTGTGATAATAAATGAGTCAGTCACGCAGGGAAAATTTCCGAGTGATTTAAAAATCTCTAAAGCGATCCCAATCTATAAAAAAGGCGATCCGCTATGCGTAGAAAACTACAGATCTATATATCTACTGAGTTGCTTTTCAAAAATAATCGAAATAGCTGTGTACAAACAAATAATTGACTATTTAAACTTATATAATATTATAACACCCACCCAACATGGCTTCCGGAAAGATTTTTCAATTGAAACGGCCTCCATAGAACTAGTACAATTTATACATGAAAACATTGACGAAAATAAATACGTTATCGGACTTTTTTTCGATCTTTCGCGAGCATTTGAGACTCTCAACCCATCATTCTTAGAAGTAAAATTGGAAGCAGTTGGTATCCGTGGACCAATAAAATCTTGGCTAATATCATATATCAGTGGCAGAACATTAAAAGTCAAAGTGGATAATGAGATCTCAGATCCATATGATCTTATCTTAGGCACCCCACAAGGAGGGACCCTAGGTCCATTACTATTCCTTCTGTGTGTAAATGACCTCCCTCAACATATACAAGATGGTAAAATCTTCATATATGCAGATGATACAACAATAATGGTATCCGCAGATACAATAGAAGAACTTGAACGGAAGGTGGATTTAGTCATAAACAATTTCAATCAATGGTGCGAAAGAAACCACCTCATAAACAATATCAAAAAAACAGTTTGCATCGAATTCACAAGTCAACGTAAGACAACAAATAATTCTCTAAATTTCAAAGTGAACAATACAGAAATCATGACGAGTCAATGCACAAAATTTCTAGGAACACAACTAGACCACAAACTAAATTTCGAAAATCAAATAGACGACATATGCAAAAAACTAAATAGAACTTATTTCGCTTTCAAAACCCTCAAAAACAACTTCTACAGAAATCATCTGGTAAATATTTATTATTCACTAGTATACTCACAAATATGTTGCAATATAATAGTATGGGGCAGAGCAACCGAGATATCAAGAGTATTTATAATCCAAAAAAGATTCATCAGACTTATATTTGACCTGAATTATGACGAGTCATGTAAAGAAACCTTCCAAAATAATAAGTTATTAACAGTAACTTGTATATATATATACAAACTTCTCACATACACGTTTCAGAACCTACACAAGTATAACAAAAATAAAGATATCCACAGATACCCCACAAAAAATAGCGACGACATACATTTGAGTCGTTTCCATAAATATCAATATAGAAAGTCACCAATTTATGCCGGAGGCCAATTATTCAATGCCCTTCCAAGAAAGATAAAAGACACCAAAGATGCAAAAAAATTCAAGAATAATCTGAAAAATTATCTCACCGAAAACTCGTTTTATTCCCTAGACGAATATATAGAAAAATGTAAAGAAGAAAGTTAGATCATTTTGTTTTAAGCTGTGCTGTCCTTTTGAATTGTCAAATTTTCAACTTGAAATTCATTATGTTATTTATTCATATTTTTGAGCTGTCCTGTTCCACTCTTTTTGTATAATTGATTGTGAAAGTTAACTTATAACTACTATAGGTAGCTTTTTAAAACTGACTTATCCAATGTCATGTAAAAATGATTTTTGAAGGATGAATAAAAAGTAAGTAAGTAAGTAAGTAAGTAAATACAACCTATGTTACTACACCAAATGCGCGAAATGCAGTAATTGGTCATCAAAATTGGGAAACGGAGTACAGTGAGTCACAATATTGCGTTTGGGTCAGTAGATACAAAATTGAAACATTGAATTTATATTTATGTCGATCATGCTATAAGGTTCTTCTTTTATTTTTACGAGACAAAAATATCAGTGTTAATTTACACGTAGTCCGAGATCATTTTCATTTGTTCCAAAGCACTAGTGATCTTCATGGTTTATACCAATCACGTACAATGTGGTGTCAAAATGAATTCACGGAATTATTATTTGGGCTCAAGGAACGTTACGAATGTGACATGGATTTGCATCAATCTCTTGACGAATCGGGGCAACCTCATTTCAAACGATTCATTGATTTTTTTGACACTGACAGTGATTGATGATGTATCACAATTATTCATAAATGTAGCTACATCATAATAATGTAAATGTATGTAAATTTGGTAGTTATAAGGTATATTGATATGATAAAGTGTTACCGAGTATAGTAATAAATTGTAGGCAAACTACTTAGTTGTTTTTATTCTTGAAATATAATCACACTATCACATATAAGGAGGTGGAACGAAATAAAAAATAGTAGAAGTAATTGGTTATTGTTTTATTGTTTCAATTCACAAATACTCCAATCACAATTATTGCTCAAGTGCTAGTTTACAGAGATGACATCTTGACTGTGGCTGTGGTGATCCTTCTACGTGGTCCTGCCAGTCGGAGCGATTGTAATGCACAAAACAAGGTAGTTGAATTTGCAGATCAACATTGTGACGATAATCATGTGGTAGTTTATGCCAAGCATACAGAAGATCAACTGGTTGGGCAGTTTGTATCAAATATTCCACTGGAAATTTTGCAAGATCATCTTCACTGAACTGGTATAATCTTGTTTTGTATTGTACATGATCTTTCAGTGGGTAGAAACAGCAACAAATGTCTTGTATCATTATTAGGTAAATTCAAAGTGGAAGCACTCGATATTGACTGTGTAGTAAGACTACTTTCACTAAACTGATTCAGTTCATCCCATGTTATTTATTCAAATCAGTGGAAGGGGAATGACGTGCATTTTTTTGTCTGTTTCAAAATCATGTCAAGGCAAATTTGATATACTGGAAATGACGAGAGTTGAGATAGAAAAAAAAAAGAGACATTTCCATCCACATTTATTCACCAGTCATTATAAAGTTTTTGTATTAATAAATTACATTCGATAAATCACTTGAACACATAATATTACTATGGGGAAAACACATAGGCTGAGACATTTGCAATGGTGTATTCTCATCCAATTCACAAATCGGCGTCCAATATTTCTTGATGAACTCATACTTTTTTCTCTCCTTCACATGAACCATATCAACTTCTTAGGTCAGCTCTTTCATGATATTTCCAAAGTGATGTATATGTGTAAAACCAGCATCCCATTCTATACAATGATCGTTTTTCATCAGTCATGTTGCTTAGGTCTTCGAATATCAGGTGATATCGAACGTAAAGGAAATGGGTTTTTGAATAAATAATGACTGAAACGTCAACCATCAAAACAGACGAATTCTTTCACAACAAATTCATCATTTTTTAAATTGAATACTTGAACATCCATGATCGATTTCAAATCTTGAGGTTTTTTATTTCTTTTGTTAGCAACCTTATCTTTTCAAGTTGTTCTATTTCAAGTTTGAGTTGTGCTAACTCACGGAGGAATTTTTCTAACTTACGTCCATACTCACGCAACATCACCAACTGACTGACTGTGTGAGACTAACAAGTCGATGGTTCTATATCTTATTGACGTACAATTTTATTCAGTGGATTATAATAGAATTCTTTCTCGTGTAATATGAGACAATATGCAGACACGTTATTACCGGTAGATTTGGACGTTTCAAATTCTATTCGTACAACAACAGATCCGCTTTGAATGATTTCTTTCTGACGTGAACAGTCGATGTGAACGATTGGAGCCAAGGTTTTGAATTCCTGGGGGCTAAATATAGGTTGGTTGGTTTGGATGTGATAATAGCTTTCCTGAAAGTTGGCAAACATTTCATACAATGTTGCAAACCGATTACTATCAAAATCTATGTTCAAGTCCTGATAAGGGAATCTTTCACTATTTAGGAATACTCGTATATTTGTCAAGTTGCAGTGATCAAGACTACTCATATCTTTCAGAATGTCTCCTTTCCGACCATTCTGGAAAGCTACTATGATGTGTCTGGGACTTTCCAACTTTGAAGAAGTCTTAACTGGCCAAGTATGACGAGTAGAATCATTCAAAGAAGGATATTCTATCAATTCCCAGCTTCTAAATTTGATGGGTACTTAAATGTTACTACGAATTATTTTGTTCAAACGTAGTTGTTCTGTTATGCTCGGTGTTATATGAGGTACGTTCCAATATAATTTAGTAATTTTAATTTTTGGTTTTTCTGTATTGTCTTCAGCAATCACTACATCATGGTCATGTTTTTCTCTAATAAGAACCAACTCTTGTCTCATGTTGATTATAATTTTCCGAAAGTCTTCAAAAAACCCAGACCACAGTTTTAATGGTACGCATAAATTGAAATTTCCCTTCGCGTCAATCAAAATTTTTTCATCGTTATTCTTTGGAAACCACCCTCCATTTTGCATCAGTGTACTCTCATTTTCGTTCAAAGACAAATAGTTTTTCAAAGTTGAAACTAGACCAACGTTCCGAACAGAATCTATCACAACGCCATTAAGTTCGTATCTCAGTTCCCTGAATAAATAAGCCAAACCGTTATTGATAAATTGCAATTTAGTTGGTACTTTGTCTTGCTCAGTTAGAAATATTCCTTCCACCTACAGTATACTATTGCAGGGCAAAGTGAAATTATCAACGTACTGGACGCTTATTCTAACTTCATCGTTGTAGTTCAGGGATGCGTTGTTGTATGGTTGATAAGTATGAAATTGGTGATCTTCAATTGTTGTGTCACTGAAAGGATGACCTGTCACATTCAATAATTCCATCACACCAATACGTGAAAACCTAGACTTTTAAAAAATTGACGATTTTCTGATGTTAACGTTTCCTTGATTAATGAAGAACTGACAGTTCTTTTGAGGTGCTCCTTTTTATATTGTTCACTGTATGGACGTTCCAAACGATGATATCGTAACACCATTATCTTATTCAACTTTTCTAAGATGTAAACGAACTGTGATCGTTTCGTTGCGGAAATTTACCAAATTGCTTGCTTGATCCAGCACTCTCACGCTGATATTGCTTATGGTTTTAATGCTAACAGGATAATAAAGTATAGTCAGTGGTTGCTCCACTATTTTATACCCGCTAGGAACTTGTGGAAAAAATTGGTGGAATAAATGAACAGGTTTTCCATTCAAAAATGATCCTACAGCAATGTTACAATCAATACATATAGCATTTACTTTCAAGATATTCACTTTGTTTGGTGGGGTATGATGCATGTCCTGTTCAAGTTTCACTCTATTACCAAATCCCAGTAAATTCCCGATGGAATTGTCAACACCAAAATTAATCCATTCACTACTTTTGATTGATACTGTTGATGTTAGTGGATCTGCTGTTATATGAGTAATAGTTCCAGTACGAAACATTTCATTCTCAATTATTTTCAATACTTCTGAGATTTCATAAGAGCCCATAGGAATTTCAAATCTGAAGTTATCGTGTTCACCCCATACCAACACATTGTTAGTTTCATCAACGTTTGGAATACTATTAAAGGTATCAAAATTGGCCAAACCAATTTCGTATTGAATATCGTCTTCCAAATATATTGGTGGGTTGAAATTATCACTCAGAGTGGAAGATTCTCCACTAAGCGTAAATGTATATGACATGGTTGGTGGTTTGTGCTAAAATGATTGTAATTCACTATTTGTATTGACTATATAAAAATTTCAGACAAAATTGACCACACTGATACGAATCATACTTCTGCATGGCGTCATAATTGAACCTGATTCTCACAGCGCCATTACTCCCGAAATATTTTACTAGCTCTGTTGGAGGCGGTAGATTTCCATAGCTATCATAATAGACCGCATCATTGTTTTTCTTGGAATAAGCAGTCCAATGAGTTCCAGGTCCCTTTTGCGAGTCAAGATTAATGATACCAGATTCATTTGTTTTGACCATTTTCGGTAAAGAATCACGCATAAAAACGCCCCGAAAGTGAGGAATTTTCAATAATTGAGCATATTCGATGAGATCACTGTCTGTCATTATACGTCGGGGTAGTTTTATCGGGAGTTTTTTGAAGGGTATGGTTTCAAGTAGAATCCCTTTCCACGCTTCCGATTTTTTGATGTTTTTTTCTTCCTCAGACCATATCCTTTATACGGTCTTAGATAATACCCTTTTCCAGATTTTGCAGATTGCTCAATTGCCAAATTATGTCTTTGCTGTTCAGCTAATTGATCTCGATTAGCTTTGGCATCATTAACAGCTTTGGCGATGCCAGCACTTCCACCTGCAACAGCCCCAAGTGCTCCAAGCAGTGGGAGTAGAAAAGGTAGGAATCCTCCTTTTTTTGGAGCAGGTATGATTCGTAGTTTTTGTTTTCCTTTTGATGTTTTGCCTTTATTTCTCCTTTTCAAGCCCATTCCAAGTTTACGTTTTCCTTTCATTGTAGTATTCACCAACCAGGCCGCTGCCTTTTCTACTAGTTTGGCGTCTTTTGCTCTAACTCTTTCCCAAGCTTTGTTCTTTGTGAGTAGGCGATGTCGTGTTCTTTACAAGCAGTATCCAGAGGATTGATACCAAGATCCCCACGTGCCAAGCGCTGTCTTAGTTTGGTGCCCGCTGAAGAAAAAAAAACAAGTACCAATATAGTTTTCGAATCAAACGACAAGAACGACAACAAAAATGTTATTAACATTCACTCACGTCCACAATAGTTGTAATTTGGTAAATGAACTTCAAAGGGTAATTTATTTATCAATGTGTTAACGAAACCTCTTCCCTCGGCTCTTTGCTGTCCTCTTACTCTTGTGGTTCTCTTCATTCTAATCTATTATATATACACACACACCCTTATATACCTTCAGTCATGCCGCTACAATGGAGCTGCGAAAACAAAATGTTTCGTTACCCGTCAACAACTATGATTTTGTTAATGTTACGCAATCTACTGGAAAACATGGTGTACTGTTTAGAGGGGAATCTAAAAGGGAATTGATAGTAGGTCCCAGCGGATCTGGAAAAACTAATGTTATGCTGTCACTCATAGAACATCCTAATGGTTTACGATTTGAAAATATCTACCTGTACTCAAAATCATTGAATCAACCAAAATATCAATATTTGAGAGCTTTGCTTGAACCACTTACTGAGATTGGCTACCATGAATATAGCAATAGTGAAGATGTACCCCTTGCAGAAAACATCAAAGTTAATTCCGTAATCATATTCGATGACGTAGCATCGTGTGATCAAAACATCATAAAAGATTATTTTTGTTTTGGTAGACATAAACAAACTGACTGTTTTTATATTTGTCAAACATATTCCGCTGTTCCCAAACAGCTTATACGCGACAACACTAATTTGTTGATCATTTTCACACAAGACCTCACTAATTTGAAACATATCCATGATGACCATGCAAACATTGATATGGAATTTCAGGATTTCAAAGAAGTAGCATCGTCGTGTTGGAAAAACAAGTATGATTTTCTTGTAATAGATAAAGACTGTGAGATGTCTTCAGGGCGCTATAGACGGGGGTTCGATACGTATATTCATATATTTGTTCTAAAATTTGTTCTATCCGTCATTCGGTTGCCCCCTTACGAGCAACCCTCAAAAGTCTTCGAAAGTCTTGTGCGAGCAAGGAATGACGGGGGTCTTACCTTTTAACGTGTGATCCCAAACATTTTCTTGGGCCATCAGAAAAATTTCTGCAGTCGACGGGGATCGAACCCACGACCGGCAAGCGAATGCGAATTAGAATATAGACACTCTGTCCGCACGGCTACCTGGCCACCATATATAAAGATGAATTTCCAAGATTCACTTAGTCATAATGGATCCACGATTAGTGAGACAACTTGTGAAATCTAGACGAGGATTGAAGAAAAAATTTAAAAGTATAAAAGGAGATATTGTGAAATCACAGACAAAACTTGAGAAAGCATATGAACCACTTACTCAACCTCTAAAAGAATTGGTTTCAACTTTAGGAAAACCCATCAAACAAGAATTTGACACTCCAGAATTTGAAAAATATAGTCCGAAAACGAATTTGTACAATCAGTTAGCGTTCATGACTCCCGCTCCCCCAGATTTAACAGCTGTGGGCGTTGAAGAACCTCAGTTCAACAGTACTAAAATAGAGCCACCGAAATTTATAACTAACGAAGAAACCTATGAATCTAGAAATGATGAAGGAGAATTGCCAGATAGAACAAAAGAAGATCAATTCATTGATGATAGCATTTCACAATTCTATACTACTACTAGTATACTAATCCGTCAGTGTTGAGAGAGTACTTTGAACAGTTTGAATCACCACTACCAAGAGACTATATTGAAGGAATGATTAGAGATGTTGAAGGCAAATACGATCATACTCTGGGTATTTTCCATGACCCTATGACCGACAGATTTTTTATCGGTAGCTCAGGAGTAGATTTTATTGGCCCGAACATTCAAATAAACGGTATTACTTATCCTGGGACTGTTGGACTTTACGAGTTGCTATTTTTGAAGCAACCAAATGTATATACTAAACAAGACATTCTACAGTATGTGAATATTATAAAAATAAGTAATGCGTATCGTCGTGATAATAATCCTGACTTGCCAATAAGAAAATTTGCCAGTGGTATCAAAGACAAATATACTTTTATTATTGAACCATATTTGGAGAGAAACCGACCTAGGTCTGGCTCAGTACCATCATCTTTATTGAAAGGTGTACTCACGAGGAATATGACAAAAACAGGAGGAAGAATGACAATGATGGATTATACAAAGGCACCAATAGATTTTAGATATTTCGATGACTATAACGAATTGATTGATAGATTACGTTCACTAGTTGCTTCTCAAGCAGTTGGTAATACTGGTCACAACAATGAAATTATCTCAATTACAGAAGAATTACGTGAAGGTGGGATAATTTCATAAATATAAAAAAATCTTCATTTTTGAATCAGTATTGAACATGCCGCTCAACAAATTCAATCAGCATTTCCTCTCCATCAACACATGTTCAGATGATATTGTTTCAGCTACATCACCCACACTTCAACCACCAGTTACTCCATTTTATATTTGTCAACCATCAAAACATCATAGTAAATGTATAATAACCATTCGTAGAACTAAAAACCCCGCATCTAGTCTAAGTCACTATACTTTGGAAAATAACACCATCACATACACGTTTCCAGTTACAGGAAAAGTTGAAAATATTCAGTGTTTTCCTAGTCAGTTACGAATGTCCTTTCAAAACCAAAACGATACTGTAGATCATCTATTAAGTAACAACATTGTGAGCAAAGGTGATTCTATTCAATTTATGGTAATGCCCAACAGTAATCTTGCAGCAGATAATATTCACGTTGAATTTCTACTTCAGTGTCCTTTAGAAAAAGACAATAAATAGAACAACCTTCATAGTTTGTCACTTCATTATCAACAATGCCTCTGAATCGCTTCAATCAACATTTTTTAAGATCCACAACTTGCTCTTCTCAGCAGTTTGTATCTGCTAAGACACCAGTGTCATTGGATTTTCCATTTTATATTTGTGACAATTTCGACTTTCACATTAAAGTTCCACTCCGTTTGAGAGGTGAAAAGAAAACCGGTTTAAATAAAGAATTTTATATATTAGAAAACGGAAATATAGCTTTTACATTTTTTTTTCAGCAGAAATATACAACGTGACACATTATGATGCTGATGGAGGTGTTTTAATCAATAATGTATTCTTCAAATTCAATCAACTAGCTGGTAAATCTGTTGATAACGGGGATACGCTGGTATTTAAGCTGGGCACACCTGCATCTATTTGTATTGATATGGTGTTGCAGTGTCCGTTAGTAAAAAATGAGTAAAGCACAAGTTGTATCTGAACTTCATAAACCAGCACGTATTAATTACAGACGACGTCATGTTGTAGTTAAAGGCTTACATGATTTGCTACAGGCAGATTTGGCTATCATGAAAACGTTTGCCAAAGAAAATCGGGGATACAATAATATTCTTGTAGTTATCAATGCATTCAGTAAGTTCGTTTGGGCAGTACCTGTCAAAAGAAAAAATGCCAAAGATATTACCAATGCTATGAAAACGATTTTAGCACTAATGTCTACGCTGCCTAAACACTTACAAACAGATATGGGTAAAGAGTTCTACAACAAGGATTCTGAAAATCTAATGCAAAAATATAATATTAATCATTACAGCACCTTCTCAAACTTAAAAGCCAGTATGGCTGAAAGGGTGATAAGAACTTTGAAGTCATCACTCTGGAAACAATTTAGTTTACAAGGATCCTTCAAATGGCTGAATATTCTTCCAGAAATTATTGATAAATATAATAACACTAAGCATTCCACAACTGGTATGCCACCAAGTAAAATTAATGATAAAAATGCCAAGTATATCACTGCATTCTCTCATTTGGAAACTGCAGATCTCAAAAAGCCAAAGTTTAAAAAAGGAGATTATGTTCGAATCAGCAAGTACCGACATGTCTTCAAAAAGGGATACACATTGAATTGGACGCCTGAAGTGTTTAGAATTGAAGAGGTTAGGAAGACTGATCCAACCACGTATATTTTAGAAGATAACAAAGAAGAAGAAATTCAAGGAGGATTCTACACTGAAGAGTTACAACAAGTCAAGCACCCTGATGTGTTTTTGGTGGAGAAAGTGCTTCGCAAAAAGGGTGATATGCTGTATGTCAAATGGTTAGGATTCGACAACTCAAATAATTCTTGGATAAATAAAAATGCTATTGTGTAATGATATTATGTATTTTTGATGTTTGAACTGAAATGATGAAATAATAAAACAAAATTTCATATGGAGACGTTTTATTTGTTTATACACCTTATTTCTATGACCTACATTTAAAATAGGATTGATATATACAGCTGCTTTTTGGATACGACTTCTGAACCGGTTTCTATCAAGAGCTGCTTCTTGCCAAGAACCTCGCCTCGCTACTTGATAAGCATAATTCCATGTGTATAGTAAGTAAACGTTCGCTTCGTTGAATCTTACTTTCTTCATTGTCTAGTTGGTTGGCTGAATATAATCTAATCGCATTTCCTTCATCCACATATCTTCTTCTTTCTCTTGAAGCAACTCAGGGTGATTATAGATAACCTCCAAACCAAGAGTGTACATTTCAGGGTTTATTTTTCTAACTGTTTCCAGTGCATCTAGTGATGTGTTTATTATCTCATTCTTTGCTCCTCCTCTCAAAATATTCATGACAACGCCAAATCCTTGGTGCTTCAATAACTCTAGTCTATACTGGATAATGGGTATGATATGCCATAATTTTGATAGTGATCTAGAGCCTAAACGAACACTGGAATCACCTGTATAAATTCTCACAGTATTCGAATGTGGTAGTTGCTTGAATTCCAAAGCAAATTTCCCAAAATCAATTGAATGTGAACTGTCTGGTGAAACTATCAGCCAACTGTTGATCGTCTCCTTGTTCGATGTCAAATCATTCCATTCTTTTTCAGATAACACTTAAGTATCATTTTTGTTTCCGGAAATGATCACACAAGGAGTATAATTTGATTGAACTGATATACATACAGATACAAACTTCGATTTTGCTGAGTTTAAGTAAAACCGACGTTCACCCAAAAACACGTCTTTATGTTCTTCTATTGAATTCATTTTTCACACTGTTACTGACTCGTCCATATCACCAGCTCCTATTTATATAACAAATGTTAGATAGGAAATGGTATTCAAGGATAAGTGACAGGTGTTGAATTACTCGCGTTCTTTTCAATTTATTCCAGCCAACTGGTCACAAGTATGGTTAGGGTAAAGAAAAAATCGCATTGACATTACCTAGAAACCCCCCATTGACCGCTTCTTTGCCCGGACTAACAAGCGAAAGATGCAAAGGCCGATATAGCCACCGGCGACTGTTAATTAACCGGTGCTGGCCGCATTCATTCCGAGCACGCTGCGAGAGTTCGATAATCGACGAAAGTGAATGGATACAAATGGAGATATTATAATGCAGTTCGAAACTCGTATTTTTCAAGACAATTAATGATGTAGGAATAATGTGAACAGACAAAAGTTGGTTGCATCTAATAATAAGATGCATTATCGAATATTTTCAGGTCTTTTTACGCCTACAAGGTGGCCCGGACTAAAAAACGAACGGGTCTCATGCTTTCACGCGTATTCACGACAATTAATGATGTAGGAATAATGGGAAGAGACAAGTTGGTTGCATCTAATAATAAGATGCATTAGCGAGTATTTTCGGGCCTTCTTACGCAGGACCATGCACTACGTTCGAGATACAACTTAGTAGCTCCATACGAGCAGCCTCGACTTGACTTAGAATCCCTATACGAGTATTATCAGGTCTCATGCTTTCACGCGTATTCACGACAATTAATGATGTAGGATTAATGGGAAGAGACAAGTTGGTTGCATCTAATAATAAAATGCATTAGCGAGTATTTTCGGGCCTTCTTACGCAGGACCATGCACTACGTTCGAGATACAACTTAGTAGCCCCATACGAGCAGCCTCGACTTGACTTAGAATCCCTATACGAGTGTTCTCAGGCCTCGTGCTTTCACACGTACGCTAGGACAATATACCACGTACGATGACCTACTTAACTTACAAGCCCTATAGTTTAACTACTTCTTGCGAATATTGGTATGAGTGGTAAAAGTCCTTCAACCTTAGGGATCGGGATTATACGTGGCGTTCAATATTTTCCATTCCTCCGGCGACTTTCAGGTATTTTCGAGCTGCTGTCAAAGCGATGCTGGTTGCTTTCTTCATATTATTTTCAAGTTTCTTATCACCACCTGCTTGGAGTAAGGCTCCTCGAACTTTATGGACAATTCCCGATCCGAATGCAATCTCCCTATTTCTTTTCACTCTGTTCTTAGTTTTCCTGATCCTACGACAGCCCATGCCAAAACTTCGCTTCCCTTTCATTACGTTGGTTATCAACAAAGCCGCGGTTCTCTCCCCAATACTAGCTTATTTTGATTTCACTCTGTCCCACGCTGCTAATTCTATTTGCTGATCTGCTTTATGCCTAGCAGCTAAGTCACTGTGGTTTTGTGAATAAGCAATATCGTGCTGCTTGCACGCAATGTCCAACTGATTTTATACCAGGATCTCCTCTTAACAGTCGCTTCTGTAATTTTGTTTCGGGGCCGCAATACTGATAACCCCCTGGTATGTGTAATTCGAATGGAAGTTTATTTATGAGGAAATTAACAAATCTTTCACCACTTTTTTTGATTTTCAATGATTCTCTGCGTCTATATCGCTTGACTTTCATCATATAAATGAGAAGTCCTCAGTGTGTTTGTCTTTATATAACATTCAACCGTCATACGATGCGTATTATCAAGCAGAAGGAGAACTTTGCCGTTGAAAATTGGGATCATGAGATTGGATATGGAAACGATGGGAGAAACAAATCAAGACATGGACATTTATTGCCTCCTACTCTTCGCGGACTCATTATCGGCCCTTCATATTGTGGTAAAACAAATGTGATGATATCTCTGTTAACTCATCCTAACGGACTCCGTCTCGCGAATGTTTATCTTTATTCCAAGTCAACCAAAGTATGAATTCCTACATAACGTATTACAGCCGATAAATGGACTAGGATTCCATACCTTCAGTAATAAAACCGAAATAATGGAACCGTCAGAAGCCAAGCCAAGTTCTATATTTATATTTGACGATGTGATAAGTGGAAATCGAGACGTCATCAGATCGTAATTCAGTATGGGACGTCATAGGTGCGTGGACTGTTTCTATAGCGCAAACTCACTCAAGAATCCCTAAACAACTCATTCGTGATAATTCAAACTTTATAGTTATATTCAAACAGGATACAACTAATTCACACCACATTCTCATGATCACGTATCGCCAGACGTTACCTTCAAAGAATTTCAAGATATGTGTGGAGAATGTTGGAAAGATATTCATGGTTTTCTCGTGGTTGCCAAAGATAGTGAAGTATTTAATGGTCGCTATAGAAAAGGATTCGATACTTTCATATGTCCATTGGCTACCTGGGCAAATACGAGAAATCGGTATAATTTGGGGGTACTAACTTTCCTTCATAACACAGGTACATGGTGATATTAGGATCACAAAAAACTATGATTGCCATCTCAGAGTGGTAGCTAATAGAAATGGCGGTCAATTCAAGATGGCGGATCATGACTTTATAAAAACGGCCATATCTCAGGAAATAATTGTTCGATCTATCAATTTCTCAATTCTAATGAAAGGTTATTGTGTGCTTCATTTTTCAGGTTCTATAGAGTGTTTGAGTATTTGCAGCCGTTTACTTATAAAACATATTTTAGTATTTTTTTAACAATTTCTGATAACATTTTTAATTTTCATTCTCAATTAGATAAAAACTGAGACCTGTGGGAAAAAAACTCTAGAAACAAATATTCTTCATCCAACTTTTCTCTACAATTTGATATATCTATACTTCTGTTTTGTGTTATCGAAATGGCTTCAAAATAAATATTTTGGTGACTGGTGTTCACAATAATGTTTGTGCTCATCAATATTATCACTTACATCAATCTCTCTTATCATGTTCATGTTTTGACAGTTATCACTCGAAGTAGTAATTGTTGAAACGTCATTTATCACAGGTTTTTATTAGTGATTACCACTATTATTCGTATTGATTGATATTGAATACCAATAATAGATCTAATAACTTTTTCTTGCAAAATGTGAATGTTCAGAGGAATACAGTGGAATAATAATAAGTTGATCCAAAATGTCTGGTGTTAAAAAAGTAAAGTGTATGAACTCAGAACACGAATTATATGAGTGTATTATTTGCGGAAGGTCTGCCTCGCTGAATGAAGTCCATCCATCTAGAGATAGGCGCTCTTGGACAGTATTGTATGATGCTGCTGTAATAAGAAATTTTGGACCAATCCAGAATATGACTGATATTTCGGATGAATCATTACAAGGTATACGATTTCATAGAGAGTGTCGGGCAAATTTCACGAATATCAAAGCCTTGAGGAAATTGGAGGTAGAAGCTACATCCCAAGACTTACCAGAGCCATCCGAAACTCCCTGTTCATCTAGTCAGGCTGAGAAACGTTTGAAACGGGATAGTAGTGGAAAATATGCTACATATAACAAAAATTGTGTTTTCTGTGAAAAAGAGAGCAAATATAAAAGAAAAGGCAGGACAAGGGAAACACTAACTCAAGTTTTAGAGCTGAGAACTGATAAAAAATTGCGTCAAATTGCTATTGAGAGGGGCGATAAAAAGATCATTGGAATAACATCGAGAGATATTGTGGCTGCAGAGGCATGTTATCATAAATCTTGCTATCTCAGCTATACACGGCTGAGACCTGCTGAGGTCAAGAATATCGACCACTATATTGAAGCAGAAAAAGTAGCATACAAGAAATTATATGATTTCATACGAAATGATATATTCTCCAGCCCAAGAGTTGAATCTCTTAGTTTTCTGCTCTCAAAATTAGTTGAGTACCTCAAAGATGACGTTGATGAAATAACTGAGTCTACCAAGAAGAATTTTCGTTACAATTTGAATAAAGAATTTGGATCCTCCTTGAATTTTGCAAACGTTGATGGTAAGATATATATTTCACCAGATAATCTTACTTATGATTCACTACTGGAAAAATATGTGAGATCCAGAATCAAATTAAAAGAGATCCAGTTGAAGAATGAAGGTGATAATTATATTTCTCGTGCTGCTCATGAGATGAGAGCAGATATCAAATGTATCGAGAAAAACAATGTTTGGCCTCCATTACCACATGAACTTCATAAGGATTATGTGGTAATACCTCCATCATTGATAAGTTTGCTGCAAAACATAATTGGTGTGTAACGTGAAAATTGCCTTTTCTCGAATTTTCAGTTCCAATTCTATACTCAATAACTATCTTGGATAATTGAGACACTCACTCTGTATATGGATTCTTTTATTCAAACTCAGAACTTAACATAACACTATATCTTTGATAGTACCTTGGGTTGAGGGTATCGAAACTTTTGGCTCAGGATCTGAAAATAACTAAACATTAGTATTTGAACTGATGATAATTCAGAAAGAACTCACCTGTCTCTCATAAGTAACTTGCTCCAGTACACTTAGTATTTTTCATTCAGAATGTTGATGTTGATGGTTAGTTCATGGTAGCTGGTGAGGAAGGCTAATGATGTTGTGGAATTCTGGTCTTGGCCTTATCGTTCATCATTGTCTTTGTGATGGTTTTGTATTTTTATTCATATCATCTTTGACAGGTAGATGGATGAAAATGGGAGGTTATTTTTGACTCTGCTCTTATTTTTCTCTTTAGCCGCTTGACAGGCATTAAGCATTTACTCTTCTTCCCAAATTCTTCGGTCATTCGCATGGTACGAGTGAGAAGACACGGAACGACTTGTAGCAGCCCATAGCACGCGGTACCCGTTTACCTTAGCTGGCCGTGGTCCCGGGAGTTTCACCTTATTCTGATTGTCCTATGTGTTTGTGGTTTATTGACAGTTCGTATGGAGCCGAGTGTAGTCGGAGATGATTCGGAAATTGCGCCGCTCTTTCTCAGATTTGGACCAATCAGGGGACAGTATTTGAGTCTCGTGACGAACGCTTAACAATTAGTTGTCGTTTTCGTGTGCGCAGGAGGAAAGTGTATTTTTTTGAAATAGATTTTTGTGGGAACTTTCTAGAGAAGGCGCAGAATATATCCCTCCAATTTGCCCTTCTTCATTTTCCTGTGGCTGATGAACGAGCAGAAAGATGAAGTCTCAGCATTTTGATTTTTGTGTGGGAAGTGAGGCCTTTTCTTATTTTTGGGTTAAGTTCGCTATTAGATTCTTATGGGAAGATTTGGGGTTTAAGATTGTAGTATTTCTGAGTGCTACAGGATCTATTTTTATAGATCTGTGGGCCTCTTACTGGAACCGCTGGAAAACGTGCCACGAGGCCACCATCTTGGCTTTGAGTCTGGAGATTTCGGGACTTGAGAAGCGGTCACTCTCAATATCCAGCACTGGGTATGATTGGACTGACCCCTCAGGACGAGCCGCTACTACTGGGGTTGTTCCGTCTCTGCTGTGTCGCAGGGTCGTAGAGAATCCTCGGAGCTCGAGCATCGCCAGGAGCCGACTTAGCACCCCAGGCCCGGTTTTGAGTAGATCATCTACTAGCTGGGGCCCTACTGTTAATTCGCAACACCCCTGTTTCACCCTTGGAATGAGTACACGTGTGCTGATTTTGGGGCGCTTCAACCGGCGCTGCTTCGACCGGTCTGCCGCTTATGTCAGACTGCTGTCCCACTAGTAAGAGGGCCTTCATGTAGGGCAACATCCAGGAGCCACCAGAGACGTCTGGTTTGAGTAAGATAGATTGGAACCCATTGTGCTAAACATTTTGTTGTTTTATAAGGTATAATATCATTATTGAGCTCTGAATTGAAAGTATGTCACTTATTGTCTTAACATATTTTTTTGGTACTAAATTTAGTCTAGTTATTTGAGATCTCAGGTATATAGCAGAATACTCATATATCACATTATTTAGATACCCTGTTCGCCCATTATAGTACTATATCGGGAACCTAGGTTGAAAGACATTAGGGAGTTTGAAAATGATTGTTTTCCATGAAACATAATGAATTTTGCTAAATAAGCAAATATTACATGCCATCCAGGTACTTGAGATTTTCCTACATTAAATCTGTTGAGTTCACACAGTGTTTCACTTAAATTTCTCTTTCAGGTAGTAATTTGTCATATAGTGCATTTTCTTAGTTTTTACTTGATTAAACTGAGGGGGCGCCCTGCTCTCAACAAAGTAAGTTATAGAATTCACAACCACTGCTCGCCAGACGAAGAGCTGCCGTGCCTTGTGAGCATCTTTGCCAGAATACAATTTAGTAAATCATAACTAAAACAATAATTTGGAAACTTCAATTTCAAAATTGCATAACTTTGCCACAGGTGATACATCATCTCGAGCGGCTAGGCTGATATGGTCAATTTCACAAGATATAATTTATGCCACATCTAAAGGTACAGTTTTAACTCCAAAACATGTTCTTCTCGCGATGACGGTGAAGACTCTGACAGGAAACGTTGAGATGATTTCTATTTTGAATCGCCTTGGCCATGGATGTAGCTATTCCAAACTGTTGGAGATAGATACAGCATTGTGTATGGAAAAACTCAATTCTTTCAGGGAGGGTGAAATACCATTACCCAGTAGTATTCATGTCAGTATCCCTACTATAGTAGCCTATGACAATTTAGATCGTTTAGAGGAAACTTTAAGTGGGGCTGGTACTTCCCATCGCGTCAATGGCATTATAGTTCAGAATACTTCATCTACATGTTTACCAAAAAGATCTTGTACTACAATTATTGATGGAAAAAAGCCGAGAAATATTGCAATGCCAATTCCATGTACACAAGAATTTATTGTTGGTAAAAGAAAAAATCCTCCTGCAATAACAACCGCTCAGCTTCCACAAGAATGTTCAGAACATTTCAAACAATCTCAACGTACTAACCTATTTTGGACACTAAGCAGACAATACAATCCAGGAAACCAATGTGTTAGTTCGTGGACTGGATTCAACATACTGATCAGGAATAATGTTGCTGTTCAAGCCGACACAGTGGCATACTTGCCATGTATAAATAAACCTGCTACAGAAATGTCTACTGTTCATGAAATTCTAAGACAGTGTGTGCAGATCAAGTCGCAACTTGAACTGAATGAAGTGATACTAGTACTGGATCAGGCTATCTTTGCAAAAGCTGTTGAAATATTTTGGCGTCACCAAGAAACATTCAGAGACATATTCATTATGATGGGTGGCTTCCATACAATATGCAACTTACTTTCTATTATAGGAAAGCTGTTCGGTGATGCTGGACTCGGTGATTTGGCAGTAGAAAGTGGGGCTATTGCACAAGGCTCTATAAGAAATGTTCTTCAGGGAAAACAATATAACCGTGCCATTCGTTTAAATAAGTACGTATATGAGGCATTCATGCGAATCATTTGGCGACAGTTTCTTGATTACATGAAATTGGAGTTTTCTGATACCTTCACAGAGATGGAGACAGTTAATGATCTCACGAAACAATTTTGTGACAATATATGCACTGAAACATTCAATAATGCAATGGAAGATGCTTCCATGAGAAAAGTCATGGATAAATTTGAAGGGTATATGAACTACTTGAGGAATGACAATGGGATCAACTCGTAGTAACCGAGAAGGAAACTGGCTACTATACATGTTATGTATCCAACGAATGATACCTTGGTGTTTTGCATTAGACAAAATCAACTATGCACGGTATTTATCTATTAATTTCACAGAAATGTCCAATTTGGAAAAAACTGACCATGATATTAGTGATTATTTCAGGAGCAGGGGATTCTCTGTTCAATTAGGATCGAAAAACCCATTTTCTCGCATTCCTGTAGATCAAACGCTGGAGGAGACAGTCAACAGAGATACCCAAAAATCAGGAGGAACTAAGGGATTCAGTTTGAAACCAGGTACTGTCGAAAAATACTATATAACAGCAGAATACCGTGCATCAGCTCTTCGGCAGTTACGAGAGAATTTAAGTTTATCAAATCATTCAAAATTCCACCACGCTGATCTTCACAAGCCACGAATGAAAATAGATGAAGAGTGCGTTTCATCTATAGTTCAACTGTTGGAGAATGATTGGACCAATCCATTCGACCAAAGTCCTTCGGACATAATAAACTTGTCAACAGGGAGAGCTGCAGCACCTGATGTACAGACATCCTTATTGTCCTTGAAGAAAAGAGGCGAAGACGCATATGAAACATTCAAGAGAGATCGTCTTGAAAGAGGAGAGGGATTTTTCGATCCCATTAAAAAAATAAACTTGAAGACTTTCAATACAACTGTTCCATTAAAAAAGAGTGGAAAGAACAAAGAAATTATCCTCAGAGCTGATCGTAAGCTTTATGCAAGTATGATACTCATAGCTGAAAACCGACATCTGAATATGTTAGACGTTTTTAGTCATCCCTTGGGGCCATTGCCTCGGAGTCTTGCCAATCCTGACGGATCAATAAAAAAGACGAGTAAAACAGTATTGGGAAAACACTTGGAAAGTCTTATCTCACCGGAAGATGAGAATATTTCCTCATCAGCTACCATAATTGATGGGATGGCATTGATTCAAAAGCTGCATGGAGAAAATAGGACATTTGATGAACTGTCTGACTCGATACTCAATCAAATCTTAAATTGCGGCTATCACAGCCAGAGAATCGATATTGTATTCGATACTTACAGAGACAAATCAATCAAATCTGCAGAACGTCTCAGCAGAGGTTCAGAGGAAGAAATCTCCTTCAAGAATATCAAAAGTGGTCATAGAATAATCAAATGGAGACGACTGTTACAGAGCAATGACAGTAAAAATAAGCTCACAACATTCCTCGTTGAAAGTTGGCAAGAGGAAAATAGAAGGAGGAAGATTGCTGATAGAACATTATTTGCTACTTACTCCGGGAAGTGTATCGAGATAACTGCCAGTGGTTCCCACGATGTGGAAGATCTTGCATCTTCCCAAGAAGAAGCAGATACTCGAATGATGCTGCATATCAAGAATGCAGCTATGGAATACTCGAATATTATTTGTGTATCTGACGATACAGATGTTTTAATCTTAGCTCTCTATATATCGTCGAAATTCAGATGGGAGAGCAACATTTATATCAAACGTGGAACAAGTGGTAGAATAAGGTTGATAGACATTAAAAAACTTGCATCTGCAGTTGGCTCTCATGTCACATCAGCTTTACCTGGTTTGCATGCATGGACAGGTTGTGATACAGTCAGTGCTTTTTCTGGACAAGGCAAGCTCAAAGCCCTGAAACTTTTACCAACGAATGATGAGTTCGTTTCACTGTTCTCCATGCTGGGAAGTCAGTTTTCATTATCAGACGGAGATCATTGCAAGATACAAAAATTTGCCTGTCAGCTATATTCAAGAAATATCAAAACAGAAAATATAAATGAATTGAGATACCAAATGTTCCGAAGTCGACAAGGTGCAGTTGAGTCAACCCAGCTTCCTCCATGTGAAGACTGTCTTCATCAACATTCTCTGAGAGCTAACTATCAAACAGCAATACGGAAAAGATGTTTGGAAAATTTTCCTGCAATTCCAGAGCCAGAAGATCACGGATGGAATCTAGAAAAAGATGGCCAACTTTCCATCAAATGGATGAGAGGAGCGCCAGCACCTGAAGCTGTTTTGGAACTTTTGAGTTGTTCTTGCTCAAAGTTATGCCGGTTACCATCCTGTACTTGTATGGTAAATCAGTTGAAATGTACCGACGCTTGTAAGCTGGCAACGTGTGAAAACATGAGTGACCCTGAGGAATGTAGAGAAGAAGTTTATGACTCTTATAACAGTTGTGGAAGTGATGATGATGAAGAAGATGATGAATAAAACTATCGGAATAATACCAAACTATGGAAAATTCGTTATGTTCAAGATTTCTTTTTCTGTAACATATATTCGAATGATTTTTCAGCGTTATATCTCATTTCAATAAAAAAATCTGTTTACTTTCACTGTATACTGTTTATTCATTAATTACGTCATTACCCGATTGATTGTAGCGTATATTGAAATACTCAAAAAACTCTTGATATCGCAAATATCAACAATTGCATAGACTGATTTATTGATTTGAACATATTTTTTCCAAGAATCTCAGTTTTTGAGTAACTTTGAATGAATCAATAAATTATTTTGAAGTTTTGAAAAAAAAACAATTTTTCATATTTTGTCAGTTAATGACTGCAAATATCAGGAAACTCTATGAGAATTCAAAAATAGAGTACAATGAGAACTTTCATTTGAGCCTAAGAAAATTGAAATCGGAAAATTATTTCCAGAGATATGACCGTTTCTATAAAGTCAACATCCGCCATCTTGTATTGGCCGCCATTTCTATTAGCTACCACTTTCAGATGGCAATCATGGTTTTTAGAGATCTCTATGTACATATATAACTACCGTATAAAGGAAAATTAGTACCCCCAAATTATACCAAAATTTTGGGTAGCCAATGGACTATATCCTTGAAACACACTCGGAGATGATCAATTCATTCTTGGCCATCGTTGGAGTTACACGTATATGAGATAATTCAGATATAATGAAAAACTCCAAGAAACCAACTACTGTGAATGATATTGATCTGAAACGTCAACTAATCGAAGCAACAGATGCTGTAAGATTCAAATTCGATACTATCAAGGGTAATCGCGCTAAAAATCAGATGTCTGTAGATAGAATTTATGAGCCCATAACGAAGCCGCTGAACATATTATCCGCAGCAGCTACAAATCCAAAAACTCAAACTTTGCCTAGTGCCGTGAATAACAATTTGGCCATCTCCAAGAATATTCACACTACACCGTCGAATAATAATTATAACCAATATCCTCAACTGATCGCCGCTCCTCTTACAGCGAGTACACCGAAAACTAAAAGCAGTGGCATGGCAGAGAAATTGCATCCAGATTCTGTAAAAAGCGACGACATATTTACTGGAATGGAATCTCATCCTATGGATACTCCTCCTTCATCTACGATGTCTTCTTCTAATGACACCATTGTAGAGAATATTGATGAACAAGATGGTATCGCGAGTAGGCACATTAGAAAATTGATGGCTGGAAACTCTCTCTATGATACGGTTTTTGGAGTACATGAAAGTTCAATCAAAAAACAACTGAAGATCGGTAAAGCTGTAGTGAGTTTTCCTATGGGATATCTCGTTCTACAGATTGGGAATAAAACTAAACAATTCTCAATGAATGGTCAATTATATGATATGATTTTTCTCAAGCAACCACCAATAGAAATCATCGATGATAATAGAGAAACATTTTCTGCTATAATGGAATTCACTAGGGCGCCATACAAGAATTTCGATATGAGGCAAGGATTGAATACCAGTAATTCTGAAAAATATCGTGAATTAATCAAACCGGCAGTTCGAACTCCACATGGAAAGATAAAAAAGAGTTCACAATTAAAAAATTTCCCCTCACAAAAATATTACAATACCATGAAAAAGGAGTACGTCTATTGGAATAGGCCCAAAGAATTAGTAGATCGATTGAGATTATTGTGTTCGAAGATGGCTGGACATACTGGACATGAAAACGAAATGATATCTATAATAGAAGAGCTCCGTGAAGAGGGTATAGTGTATTGAATATCGAAAAGAATATTTCGAATATATTAGTAGTCATTCATCATTCAGTTCATCAGAACGGCTTATTATCGATAGTGAGTGGTCGGATCGAGGCAGAAGGAATCAAGAATCAAGAGATTTGCTGATTTGTGGAAAATTGAACTGGCTGAAATGCAACCACATGCAGAAGAGAATAATGGATATAGATATATTCTTTTCGTTATTGACTGTTTCTCTTAATATGTCTGGACTATGCCGATCAAAAACAAAACAGGCGTAGAAGTGAGTAAGGCCATGAAGAAAATACTGGAAAAGGCCGAGTATACACCGAAACATATCCAAAGTGATGCTGGAACAGAATTTCATAATCGCTGGTTCAACAAATTAATGGCTTCATATAAAATCAATCACTATTCTACGTACAGTACGAAGAAATCCGCCATCGTTAAGAGACTCATCAGAACTCTCAAGAATTGGATATATCGAGAATTCTCAGTCATAGGTGAATAAAGATGGTTAGACATACTACCTTCACTGATTGTGAGGTATAACAACAAAATTCATCGCACGATTGAAATGAAACCAATGGATGTGTCTTCCTTAACGCAACTGTGGAGCCAAAATTTCGAGTGGGAAAAATCGTGCGGATAAGTAAATATAAAGGTGTTCTCGAAAAAGGATTCACAGCAAATTTCTCAACCGAACTCTTCAAAATTATTAAGATGAAACTTACTAATCCTACTACATATTTACTAGAAGATATGGGAAAAAATCCGATCAAAAGATGTTTTTATGAAAATGAAATATTGGAAACAAAAAATCCTGATGTTTACCTAGCTGAGAAGATTTTAAAAAATGAGAAGAATAAAGTATTCGTCAAATGGCTGGGATTCTCGGATAAACACAATTCCTGGATTGATATATCGGATATTGTATAATGCAATTCAATAATTTGAAGATGTAAGATTGTTATTCACTTGATAAATCAGATAATAAAGAACCTACCATGAAAGTATTTCTGTATTTCATGTCCATATAATATAAAATCGATACTCATTGCTGGAAATGGGAAGCACTTATTTGCTAACATTAGTATTTGACGATTAATCCATATTTCTTCCGATTGAATAAGGACTGCATAGAACAACGCTACAATCTCTTCTCAATATCTGCTGATGATGATCTAGACACCAACAACTCTTGAAATGTTGGTTGCTGTTCAAGAAGAAATGTCCTACTTTCTCACATAAAAATAAATCGGCTGTACATACGCTACACATTCCATTGAAACAATCTGTTTTATAGTTATTACAGGCTATACAACGCTGTTTGAGTGGGCGAATGCTTCTCATGCAAACTCCGCATAAGTATCTGCAGATTCCAAAATTCGTATGAGGCAAAGTATTCCTCCTGCAGTTGAAAAATTCTGGACCTCGATTAAATTCTGTTCTCAGCTCTGATATTGGCGAGGGCGAGCGATTTTCTTGTATGCACGTGGGCCAGAGTCCTGTAGACGAATTGATCTCATCTTTGAGGTGAGCGCTATTACAATTGAAGCACATCACTGAGTTATCGATGATAAATGGAAAAGTAGCTATGTTCGGTTTAGCATCCCATGATTGTTGAAAGGGCATCTTCGAGTATCAGATATGCTTAGTGATCGTTCTGTAACTGGTACTGAGATTTGATGAGGCCTCCTCTTCACTTTATAGCTAACGAAATTACCATCAATGACGTCATACTCCTCCCCACTTTCGAAATGAATAAAAGGAATGTAGAAGTATGGTAGAGACCGTTCTTTCTTCTGGTTTCTGATAGCAACGTTGGAATGAAAAATATTAATGATGCTTTGAGGCACATCGCCGATGAAGACCTGAATAATATAGTATCCGATGTAAGTACCTACCTCTCGAGAATGTTTGTATACGAAGGAATTAGTTTATTGTTCATAAACCTACTTGAGTATGTGGTATTCATTTCAGGAACTTGAAAATATTCCAATAGCGGTCCAAGAGGAAAATCAAGAAGAATTAGAAGTGAATATGAGTTATTGAAAATCATATGAATGCATATTTATATTCATCATAACTTTGTTATATTCCAGCTTGTAAGTATATGTGATGATGACGGATTAGGAAGAGATATCGATCAGGAGCCTGAAGATATGATAATAAGAAGTCACAACATCGATGTCGAAGCCTCGCGGGTTGACCTGAATCTTCTATATTGTATCACGATATCCTATGTGGAAGTCGAAACAGCCAATGGTGATTTATGCTTGTGCTACTCTTGTTTCGTTCGATATACACCATTATATAACCATATTGATATACACTTCACATCACATTCCGAGACAAGAGCTGTGTTCGGCATGTCGAATCCGATTATGGATGATAAGATTGGTGGATGTGTGTATTATATGCAATAATACCCCTCCACTCCAACATCTCTCGAGAGAAAAAGAGGAGTCAACTACTATTTGTTGAATCATAAGTAGGGAGACTGTTAATATTTATATATTATACACGTATAATGCTGATTATTCATATCATCTTCATAATAAACTTCATTATTTTTTATAAGTTTATAAACTGTGATATTATTTTTTCCATCATTGCCATACGCTTATATGTATGTATGTATGAATATAATTTTATCGGGTCTCCATCAATAAAGCAACTTATATATATATATATATGAACAATGAGCAGAAGATCAATTCCCACTGAGACTTCGAACTTGAAGGATGAACAATACTATCGACAAGTTTGGGCGGAAAAAATTAGATCTATGAATTCTCTACGCGGCCCGCAGGAAATAGGATTCAAACTAGATTCTGATGGGAATTATAATATGTTGGGAAAGAGATTGAAAATTGTAGGTGAGCCAAATGATGATTATGATTGTGTGCATTACAGATTCCTTAAGGAGCAAATTATTCAATTTAAAGAGGTTACTCCACTAGCAATTCAAACCACTATTTCAACAGTTATCGCAGATGCTTCAAAACTACTCGAGAAACAAAATACTGAACTAGAAGTTCAATCCAATAAGAAGCAATCACATGCCAATGATGAAATGATAGAATTGAAAGCTCACTTATATAGACTCGGCATAATCACTGAAGTGAAGGAGCGATTACGGTGTAAAATCTACGCAATAGATCACGAGTTTGTTCATCTCCTCTACGTCCTACCGCTTCCACCACTACCTCGACTTGTATACAGTGTGTCCATAT